CTGTTCATTCGTTTCCACAGTGAATAAATCATCATGTTTAACTGTGAAGTTAGTTTAACTTTTAAAAAGTTTAACAAGGCTTGTGTTTTTGTACCTGCAGGGCTCAAGGCCGCAATTATCTAGCCAAATTTTGCCACCATGGAGCACCACTGTGATTTGCAAATATTATTAATATATGAACCGGAGAGCTGTTCATTTGTTTCCAGCTTACAGTGAATCAATCCTGATGTGTAACAGCACTGAGGATTATGGGTTAACTTTACGCTAACTGCTAAAGACAACTGTTGCACAGAATCTTCACATTCATGGCAAAAATATAAACACTTCCTGCCTGAGACAAGCTGGGTGGTTTAGAATAAAAGCACCAATGGTCAGCTTTGATCTATTTCATTGTAACAATATTTTTTTTTCTCATTGTCACAGCACTTTTTTTTTTTACTTTATTATAACAGTGTTTTTTTGACTTTATTTGAAAAAAAATAGTGGCTCTTTTATTCAATTTTACTGTAACTAGTTTATTTAGAAGTTCAGTATGTAAGTATTCAGTACTTTAGAGGAGATTTCAAAATATTGAGATATATTCTGTGTATTGGGATATAGCCTGAAAATATAAATTATCATTTATAGCTCATATTGCCCAGCCCCACATGTGGTCTGTGAAGAGCGGATGGTAATGTTTTCATAAACCTGCTTCCATCTCCACTCCATTTCTCTAACATCTATCCATCCTCCCTAACTCTACTCAGCCATCTCCATCCTTTTCCATTTATTAGTATAATACAGACCCATTTTGTTCTTATTTGTCTCTCAGTAAATGTGAGTTTTTAACTTGCTCTTAGCCATCAGTATTACATTTACAAATATGCCAACAATCTTCTTTCTGTGAATGACAGTCTACTGCTCTTCACCATTCCACTTCAGCTCTCCACCTCTCTCCGTCTCCTTCCGTTCCTCTATTAGGCCTGACACTGTCAGCCCTCTCCCTCCCTCAATCCATCCTCTCTCTAATAGGTCTGGCATTCTCAGCGCTGTCCTCCTTCCTTCCCATCCCCTCTTTCCTGTCTCCATCCTGCTGTCCTTCCCTCTAATATGGTTGACATTCTTTACCCTCTCCTCCCTCCATCTCTCCTGGCTGACTTAAACTAAAGTTCTGCCTGGAGGGCCCTTTCGTGGGTAGCACAATTATAGCGCTCAGGGCCAAGGCCACAGGTAAAGTGCACTCTGCACAGAGGAAAAGTAACAAGAGTTCTGCCTATGAGCACAGAGGAGGAAGATGGTTTATGTAAGACAGACTACTGCTGATGACAGTAAGACATAAGGTGATGATACAAGACAGATGAATATGTAGCAAACAAAGAAGCAAACATCATATCAAACAAAGGGGAGTGTTTCCACATAGTGTTTCCAGAGATATTGGATGAAGCGAGATACCCCACCGTAGGCTTATCCAATGTTAAGAAAATGGTTACTCTTCCTGTCTCCTAAGTGGGCGTGGTTAGCTCTCACCCTGTTTATCAAGATCACAAGATCTCGCGAGAACTTGTTTTCTGAGACGGACAGGGCTCAAACAAAGTTAATTTTCTCTTGATCTGTGCGGATGAAAAATGCAGCTTTGGTGTCAGAATGTTGGTAAGATGTGTGGCATGTGGAAAATGAACCCAGTATTTACTTTAGTGACTATAGGGCGAAAGAATTGACCATAAATTGTGATCACGTTCATTTTCCTCATTGACGACAATACATTGAGAGCTGCTGCAAGTCTCCTACGGGGGCGTGGCGCTGACATCACTGAATCAGGAAGTGAGCTGAGTTGGGTATCTCGCTTTATCCAATATCTCTGGTGTTTCTCTTTAGCAGAGAAGTGGTATGATAGCTAAGCAGCTAACATAACGGCATGTTAACAGACGGTTGACTACACAGTTTACAACCAATGACAACCCTCAAGGCTAAAAAATAATGCCAATGCGCAAGTGCCAAAAACTGCAGTTCATTGAAAGGCCACAAAAGGCTAGCTCCAAAACAGAGTCTGTCTCCATAGACCTCCATGTTAAAATGCCCAGCTTTACAGCAGAAAAAAACATGTTTACAGCCTGGTTCAAAAAAATGGTTTTGGTCTCTACAGCTAATTTCAACCTGTCTACATTTTACTAAAGCCCAGTTCAGACCAATGATTTGCGATGAGACAAAATGGTTTGGAGTGGTGTGAACTGGCTGTCTGAGCTCTACTTGAGTAGGCTGATGGTGTCAGATGCAACTCAGCTGGTCAAATGGTCCGTGACTGGTTTTAGAAAGTAAAGCATGTCACCTGTTTCTACAGCCAATCGGCTTGTAGTGAAGTCCGCTGGTCGAGTCAATAAGACCGCAGATGGCGTGTTTGCTTGCTGCAGCAGGTGCTCTGTCTCCACGAGCCCTCCTTATGTGTCCTCATGGTGTGCCGGAGTCGTAGCTGCTGCGTACTGTATGTGCTTATGCACCCCCCCACACACACATTCTCATTGACTTACTAATTGGCGCTGCTTACTTATATTATTGTGGTGTATTGATTATGAATACAGTCCATCTGATGCTCATTTTGTTTATGTTTTTCACTGTTTTATCACTACTGCAAATGCAACCATAGCCAATATCTCACTGTCACTATCCTCATTCATATTGTAGGAAGCTACAAATTATATTCAGCCACAAAATAAGCCTGAAAAGGTGCGAATCAGAATGAAGTACAGAGAGTGTTGCATAGAGATGATACACCATTTTATCTTGTTGCATTGGTGTGAACCGGCAGAACGTTGCAGAACATTGTATTGCAAATAATTGCCTGTTTCAAATCGTCTTGTGGCAAATCTTTGGTCTAAACTGGGCTTAAGATATAAAGTTGCAAATATTAAAGGGCAGAGCTGCTTTAGTGACAAGCTGTCTGCGAGGCGTAGCTACAGTCAAGGCGTTGCCACAGTCTGTGAGTCAGATCCACCCTCTCATCCAAAAATGGTCACTTCTGGCTCAAAAAGATGGCGACAGCAGAAATGCCAGACTCAAGGCTTCAAATCAGCAGTCCACAAATCAATGGGTGACATCACAGCAGCTACATCCATGATGTTATACAGTCTATGCTAACAACAAGCTCACAATATACGCAGTGATAAAAGCACAACAGTCACCAGCAACATTCAGCGTCCAGCAGATCTGATCCCACAAAATGGCTTCTCCGCCTTTGTTGTGATAACTGACTGACATATCATGTCACTCTAGATAGACAGTAAAGGAGCAACAGTAACGACACCAGTGCCTTTTTGAGAAGAGTAGAGATTTTCATCTAGAAGCTCTCGGAGTGGCCACAAATAAAGTCAGAGCGCTTTGATAAAAGGTGGGTGCAGCACTTTTTTCTAGATGACCTCAAGGGGTTGCATACACTCTCTCCTCATTGGGAACAACTGAAAAAAGACACTGGCGCTAAGAAAAAGACTAAAGAACACTGTGGAAATTCAGCCTTTTCGTGAAAAATGATAAACACCACACAGACAGCACGAACAATAACTGAGTATGCCTTCTTGAAACAGACCCGGTGCACTGGGAGTGACGCTTTTCACACAGTGTTCGTGTTTTTCCTGCATTGAAATCATGCGTATCCCCAGTCGTATCACACCTGACCAGCTGAAAACTCACTGTGCTTCAAATGAAAGCAAAGCAGCAGTTGTAGTTAAAAGGGCTGTGCTGCACTGTCCCATAAAGGCGGGTTAATAAAGTAACACTGTGACTACTCTTTGAATGCAACCTTGTATGTTCTGATATCCCTGTATATGTTGTGTGTCCATCCTGTTCAAGTGTGCACAGGGTTTCAGGGGTTTTGTGCCTTATATATTTCTAGTGCATACATGCTGAATGCAGTAACACACACACGCACACACGCATACACACACACACTTGTAAGCACATACTGTACTGTACATAAAAAACGCTGAACCATAGGTCAAAGCCTGCTGGCTCTGCAACAGTAAAGCAACATGAGCTAAACACCCACAAAGCATCATGGGACCGGGATGATGTGGGTGTATTGATTTCTATGTGGGAGTGGGGCAGAGGGGTGGAGTTAAAACTGGAAATGCAGCAGATGACAGATACCCATTGAGTGATGTCTAAATGGGAATGTGGGGGTGGTGGATGTGATCATGGGGCAGGGTGGTATATAACACAGCTGAACTGAAACTGAGCAGAGTGGGGAGGGGGGGCGAGTTGAAGGGTGGGGCTGGTGTCACAGCAGCCACACCTCACCATGGAAACAGTTGCTTGGTGATAGTGGGAGATTGGCCAATGGGGATGCCGACCCCTGAATTTTATATCAGTACCTCTCACCTGGTGGTCAGAATCAGAAATACTTTTTTGATCCCCTGAGAGAAATCACACACATTACAGCTGCTCTTATATTTACGCAAGAAATTATTCGAAACATAAGACACAAAAATATGTGCATTATGCAACGGTGTATATAAAACGAAAATGCAGAGAGATGGGATCTATGAGTGTGTTAAATATAGCTGCATAGATAATACAAATAAGAATTAATTAAGAATATTAGTACAAATGTGCATTATGCAGTATTAATGCCAGAGCATTGCTCAGTGGAATTATTGCACAGAGTATGTGCATGGTGGCGCTTGATTGATACAAGCCTGTGTGTGTGTGGAAGGAGGGAGTCATTTCAAAGTGAGTGTTATAGGTACAATGAAGATCCTTCAGAGGAGTTTGTGTGACATTACCAATGAATAAAAACATTTTCCTTCAGAGCTTCTGCTACACTATGAGGCTCTGAGAAGAGGGGAAAAAAGAATTTGCAAACATTTATCTTACACCTTGGTTTCACATCGCAGAGATGTTCAATGAGCCGTGACCTCATGGATACATAATTTTGCAGATCTGATCATATGAGATGTGAAAACCAAAGGCCCCGCCACATTTTTGTTAGGCTGCTCTTATACTTGCTACAATATACACACATAGAAACTCACCTGGCAGAAGACAGGTTTGTAGGTTTCGGAGAAGAGCTGGGTCAGTTCTTCAGAGTCACACAGGTCCAGCGGCAGCCGGTTTATACACAAACACTTGGAGTGCAAGTTCTCCTCCTGGCTCAGCTGGTTGACGTCCATCCACTGCACCATCAATGAGCGATCGTCCTGAACAATCGGGAGTACAGAATTCGATTTTTAAGACCCTGAACTTGCCTTTCACTGTTACACTGCATAAGCATCCTCTTGAATTCTGCATTTATATAAACAAATGATTGTAAGTGAAGCCTTATTTGCCGTTACATATTCATCCTTGTGATTGTAAAGTGCTGATTTGAAAGCCCATGTACAGTTTTTGTTTCACTGATTGAGCCGATCCCAAATGTGAGGTCAGACAATCTGCTGTAGAATTTAAAATAAACTCCACTAAAATAACACAAGGAGATGTTTCTGGTTCAGCGTTTCTTCCCACAGATACTTTGTGTGTTCATACTGCAGTTTCACATTTCATACTTGGGAGACAAATTGGCAGAACCCATATTTGTACTTATTATTTCTTTTCCTCTGTTTGGCCAGTTTCTACAAACCATGACTGATGATTACAAGTTTGAGCCAAGTTTTGTGGAAGTAAACAGCTCGATGTAAGATGTGGCCAAAGACTCAAATGTCCTCTTTTTGCTCATTTTTATGTATGACTCAAATCAGGCCATATGGTTGTAGACTCATTTATTTAGGTTTAGCCCAGAGCACTAAAATGTATATTGTGTACTCATCCAAAAGAGTTCAACAGTTCCAGCATATTTTTGTCTTAAAGAAAAATGTAACAAGAACATCAAATAATCAAACAGGACAGGATCATTTTAACAACCGCTCTAACATACCAGCGGTCGGCCCAGCAGCTCAGAGCGGGCCCGTGAAGCAGAATCCTTTTTCATGTATTCAACAAAGCCATATCCTTTGGAGTGGCCCGTCAGCTCGCTGTACACCAGGAAGGAGCGCTCGATGTTCCCATAGGCGCGTACCAGCTCCTCAAACTGCTGGGCAGTGAAGGTGTGGGGCAGGTTGGTGAGGCAGAGCAGGGAGTCCGTGGGCTGCAGCGTGACGTTGATCAAGCGTCCCCGGACAGTGCTGTGATGGAGGGAGCGGATGGCATCCTGAGCCTGGTCCCCGTTCAGCAAAGTCACAAAGGCTGGAGGAGGGGACATTATGGAGACAGCGACGAGAGGAAAAGACAGGACGAGGACAGACACGCAGAAAGAGACGCACGGACACAAACAGACGGGGACATGTGAGACACGAGCAGACAAACACAAACATACATTTAAAGCAGACATTGAAAAAACAGGCAGAAAGCAGCTTGTGGAAAATGCAGGATGGGGACACAATGACAAAAATAAAGAAAAAAAAAAAACACGCACAAAACAACTCACATGCAAAGAAAATAAATGACAGGCCGAATGTGGCAAAAGGACGAAAACAATAACACATTGGGCACAAACAACCAAAATCACAAACAGACAGTCATAAGGACAGACAGACAGACAGATACACAGAGAGAAAGACAACACATTAGCTAGAAAGCCAATAGGGAGCCACTATGTAGGGGGAATCCACTGTGACACACACACATACACACCTTATCTCATTTGAAAACTGATATATGTGTCAGAGAAACAATAATACTGATGAACACTACAATTAAATTCTACTGGCTATTTAACTGTGATACCTTCAGACAAAGTGTTAGCCTATTTTCTATGCCAGTGATAATATCTCATATGTCACACTGTCATCACGTCTCTTCCAATCACTGCCCGAATTTCACTTCATTTTAGTTGTGTAAAGCAACAAAGATTATCACTTGTATTGGGGCTGTCAGTTTTCGCAGACAAACAGAGAAAAGCCGACTGTACAGTATGTCCTGCGAGTCTATTGAGGAGGCTTTGATATTTATTCATAAGTTACAATCCAGTCAGTGAAGCCTTGGTATGAATTCTTAATAGACTTCCTTTCCTATTAACGGTGACGCTCAATGATTTAAAATAAAAAACAATGTATAAAGGCACATTGATAAACCTCACACACAAACGCATTAAAAACTGTGTAATTAGGTTGAAAGAAAGGAAATGAGTGAACGTATAGAACATTAGAAGCGTTAAACAGCTTCACATGAAAACAGCCGCAGACAAATTCATGGGCTGTGAAATGAGGTGGTAATAAATTGATCTGCAATGTGACTGTGAGTGTTGAAGAGAAAAGGTATGTTAAAAGAGTTTAATGTTGCACACGTTGAGTATTGGAAACAAGAAAAACACTAAATGTGTAATATATAAAACAACAGATTCAAAGGATTTAAAAAGACTCTGAGCACCTCAGTGGCCGAGCTCATGCCATGTATGCAACGTCCCCAGTTCATTTCCAGCCTTAGGACCTCTGTTGAATGTCATACCCCTCTCTCTGTCTCCCCCATATCTACACTGTCCTCTGTCAAAGGCAAAATGCCAAAAACATAATCTTTAAAAACTAGAATTACCCCTCGTGGTCACACTGCAGATACAGTTTACATCCATGTCCATGCAGACTTGCATGTAGCTATGACAGTTATCAACGCTTCAAACAGGAATCTTGCTGCAAAGAAGCTACAAATTCTTCAAAGATCTTATTATTGACTGCATAGTTTCATCATTTTAGCAGTTACAGTCTAAATTTGACACACCACATACTCATTTCTTTCAGGTACTTAACTTAGTTGAGCAAAACACCGCATCCTTCACTAATCTACCAATCAGTTTGCCAACTGACAGGGTTGCTGTTTCGGAAGAGTCATGGACAAAAGCCCAATTACTGGTATATTCTTTGGAGTTTGTGCTCGACATGGACTTATGCAATTTGAAATACTGCAGAGACTTAACTTATCAAAAAATAGGCTCTGTAAAATGTATCCAAATATTAGTCCAGTGTGCGACTGTTGTAGGCAATCACCAGCCTCACTAGCACATATGTTCTGGCACTGCCCAAGAGTCACAACATATTGACAAAATATTTTTCAGTTGCTATCAGACGTCCTGAGTAGACCTATGGATCCTGACCCACTGACCGCACTCTTTGGTAGTAAAGGTTCTGATCTTGTGTTGACCAGCTCCCAATATAATATGATGTTATTTGTGACCCTCCTAGCATGTAGACTGATATTATTAAATTGGAAGCAAACACGAGCCTCTGCCAATTCTGTCCTCATGACGGATGTGATGCACCACCTGCATTTGGAAAAGATTTAATTCTCACTAAGAGGGTGTGAAAACAACTTCTACCAGATCTGGCAACCGTTTATACACCACTTTAAGGGTGCTTTCAGAGTTGTCTTGCTTTAGTCTGAATCAGGGACTAGTTTTGTTACAAAGGTGCATAATTGCCTAGAGTTGGTTCATAGTCTCACGGCAGCATTTACAAGTGGACCAGATCAGATGTCTTGCATGAGAAAGCTGCTCTTGATTGGTCAGAATTTCCATTCAGGAAAAATCCAGGAAGTACGCAGGTTGATCTTAGCGCTGGGCATCGTGTACTATATTGCTTGCATTGTTCATTTTAGTCAAACCATACAGTTTGAAAACAAGGCGCGGCTCCAACTAGAAAACAATGTTTTGATGCATTGGATGTGCTGAATGTGCATATTAAGGCAGTACAGGAGGAGGCGCACATTAATAATCCTCCAGGACTGTAACATGCTCATATTTAACCCAAACAATGTGTAATGCGACTGCAGTTGGTTTGGATCGAAGTTGGAACGCATTCTCACCACGAATGACAAACCGCACCAGAGTTCCTTTGTGACCGGATCGAGACCACCTCTTCAATAGAGTCTCGGTCTGGTTGTTTTGGTGTTCACCAGTGTGATTGCTGTGTTCACACCTGCCCAAACGAATCGCACTTAGGGGGCAAAAGAACTTGAGTTTGACTGAACCAAACCAAACAGGGCAAGTGTAAAGACACCCTAACAAAAATGCACTAAGTACTTCCCCTAACTAGGCTAGTTTAAGTGACACAAAACATGGTCAAGCTGACAGCCTTCTAACCCTATACTACTGCCACTGTTTGTTTAACTTTGAAAACTCCAATAAAAACAGTTGAAAAAAGAAAAAAAGCTAGAAATCGTGAAGCATAAATGCTTCACACACATCTCTCCCCCACCAGCTAAGAGGATCTATACAATCAGCACACTTTCAAGATTAGTGTCACCAATTCAGTATCTGGCCAAATGTCTCCCCTCTGTTCCTGAGTTATGAAGTTATGGCGTTAATGGCCAGAGGAGTGTCTGTGCAGAACATTTTAATGTCGCAGTGAAGTTGCCCTTTTGGATATATGACCTCATCAACTCATAATTTTATTCTATTTGACAGTTTCTGAGCTATGGCCAAAAACATGTTTTTGAGGTCACAGTGACCTAATCAGTTCATTCTTGAGTCCAAGTGGACGTTTTTGCCAAATTAGAGGAAATTCCCTTAAGGCCTTTTTAAGATATTGTATTCACAAGAATGAGATGGACGCTGGGATAACATGGGAAAAGAGGTAAATGAGACCTTTCATCACCTCCCTAAACAACTTATGTTACTATAATAAACACAGCCCAGCGTTTCTGCTGCCCCACTGCCCCGCTGCTCAAGAGACCGGTAGTATAAAAGTGAAATTTCATTATGTAGCTCTCAAGTTTGACTATTAAAATCAGCAGGCGCTGCTGAGAATGAGCAGTACAAATTAACTGTGGCACCTTCTGGCACCCTAACCCTCAGAGTCAAGAAAGTAACGTAATAAATTATTTGAATTGTAAACATCCAATCATACTTCCCTGTAGTAAGAACACACAAGGCCGTGAGTGAGGCCAAAACAAACAAGCATACAAATAATAATGCTATCTGATACTGAGATACAACGTCTGGAGGTCCAATGTAACCATGGTGATGAAGTTAAAATCCTTTGTGATGAGCAACTTCTCTCAAAACCAGCAGTGTTCAGACTTCAGCTGAATTGCACCACATATTGGTACCAATAGGAGATAAAGTAAAGATGTATAGTACAGTAGAAAAGCAGAAGGTTTAACTTCCCATGCTGAACAGGAGATTGTGCCGGTTTCACCAAAGCTCAGGGTTTGGCTGGTCAAAACACGGCTGCTCAAAAAACAGGAAAGGTACTTGCGTGATTTTTTAGACATCCTTTAAAGAGCACCTTAAACAACTACAAACAGATGCGAGCCATGCACTGTGAGCTTCTGACCTGCGGGAAAATATCACTGTGCCTCCAGACAATGCTGCCCCTGTAGTCATGCACCTGTAGAGAACACGACCCAATGTCTTTTATCAAAGCTCCAACCTCACCTGCTGTTACTCTGACCATGAAGTCCTGCACATGTTGTTCTTAAGACAGTGTCTCACCAACTCCCACCATATATAAACTGGCTACTGTTGGGGAAATCACTGAGTGTATTTCAAACACATCTACTACAGGAATGATTTCATGTTGGCTGAGATGTGTTTTACTGTTCAGCAGTTGGGAGCTACTATAATTACTTCTTCCCTGCATCCACTGCTTGCTGTTAGCTGTAGGACCTGCCAATGTAAACTATGGTTTTGTCCAAATACCCTGGCATTAATATCCAGTACACTGATATAATGTGATGTCTTAAAAGATATTTGCCAAAATCATCAGTAAACTGAAAGGCAGAGGAATTTTTTGAGTACTTTAATGCACGTTACATTACACATTAGCATCCTGATTATGACCGGTTTTGAAATGATCAATTCTTTATTCTGCTTACCTTTTCCATACACAAATTTTAAGTGCAGACCAGTGTGAGCTTCAATGTAAATCCATCAAAATTAAAGCAACTCTTCTCAACAATACCATCCTTTATTCACCAAATCTTTTCTTCTATCTTGTCAACATCTGGGTGGTGCCTGAGGCTGTTTCCAGTTTCCTTGCGTACAAAACACTTAACTGTCACGTACTCGATACATCAATATAAATACCATGTATACAAAACTCTTCTGTCATCTTTTGTTGTGTTAGAAATAGTGATGTCGGGTTGATTTGGTGGGGTCAAGGCTATGGAATATCATTAAATCAGCCATATTTTCTCACTACATCTTCGCTTTTCTTACACTCAGTTGCAGGTAAACTACAGGATATACACTTCTT